AGTGACAATAATATTTTTTGCTGTCCGTAATAAATGAATATTGTTGTATCAAATCTTCCAAATCCAGCTAACCTATGGGAGTAGTTGTTTGGGCTCCATGATCTTTTGGGCCTGTCGAAGTTCTAACTATACAATTGTTTGAGGGGAACTTACACAAATGTCCCAAATAAATCTCAATTTATCAACCTCTGGTCATTAGTCATAGACTTACCAAAACTAGCCAACAAAAATTGAAAAAACAAATAATAGAGTTCTTTCTATCAAAGAATCACATGCAAAAATCACCTTCCATATTTTTAAGCGTGATTAACAACATTAGATACAAGACGGAAAGGAAATTTCATGGACAGGGTAGCAAATAAGGTGATGAAATACAAAAATTTATACAATATTCTAAAAATCTAAACAAAAAAGGGACTTTTTCAATGGATATAGTTGAAATTCATTGAAAATATATAGATAAGTCAATATACAAAATTTGAGGAAGATTGGAGGTGATTTGGACTGATTTTGTATCAAAATTTGTAATTAAATCAAGTTCAAAAAAGTCTTCTGCGACACATGTATCACGCATGTATCTCACACACAGGTATACATGAATATACATCTGATACACAATTGATATAAATATGATACATATGTGATACACAAATGATACACAATGTGATACACATATCATTTTTTCATGTTCAGTTTTTACTTCGAATTTTCAATTCAAACCACCTCAAAACTTCACCAAATCATCCCAAAACTGAGATTCAAGCTCTGTAAGTTGTGCTCAATCTATTCTAATAACACCCACTAAAAACAAAGCAAAAATCTGATATTTTTTCCCTACAAATAGCTAATTTGGTTAATATTAGTAATATTTTATCAATTGACCAATTTTTGTAATGAGCTACTTGTAAATGGACATAGCTGGTAATTTCTCTTGTTTGAGCTCCGTGGTCTTTTCGGCCCGTAAAGGTTTGGCATGGTATCACAATGGATTAGTTACCTCCTATAGCAAAAGTTGATACCTTATTTATTTTAAATTATCTTTTTAAAAAATTATATTCCATAGCTACCTTTTGATTTTTTATAGCCAAATATCTATTTATGATCACCTTCTATCCTTAAGCCATAAAATAAGCTTTGTATTATTTTTTTCTCTCCACTCAAATTTCTCCTATCCCCTCAAATTTCTCGTACCCCCTACCCCATATCTATTATCCCTCTCTCTCTCTCTTCTTCCACCGTCATCTTACTTTTACAGAGCTTTAAATATATATTTTTTTTGTACAGTTTCGAATCTCATCTATTTGCCATGGATTTGAACTGCAAAGTTTTGAAGTTTATGATGATGAAAACTCCGGCTAATTCGTTTAGCGAATATGCTCCTGTTACATCTTGAAATATGTGGTAGGATTGGTTTGTACCTCAGTTTGAAGAGAACCATATATTATTCGACCTAATTTTTGGAGAAAGAACCAATCCAGGGCTTCTTTTCAGGCTTAAGTAAATAAAAATCTTTCTTAATAATTTGTTTGGTAATGGTGGATTCTAATGGATTTCTGGATGGCAACACCATTAATTACGGATGGAAACGAATTGAAAATTCAGGTTCATGTTCGGAGAAAAATCGTTAGCGGCGAAGATGATGTGGTAGATAAGAAGAAAGTGAAAATTGAGCTTCCTATTCTGAGGGAATTGTTATTTCCATCCGTTGAGACGGCCTTAGGGATTTTCTTGAACAAAGACGACGGAGTTTGGGGCTGAGCAACTTGAATTTTCTGTTAATATATTTTAATGTATTTCAATGTATCTCGCCGTATTTCCATGTATATCATTGTATTCATTGTCTTTTTTTTTCATTGTATTTCAATTTATCTCACTGTATTCCATGTATTTTATTGTATTCACTGTCTCGTTGTATTCCATGAATATATTCATATATTTTTTTAATTAATATAATTTATGTATTCAGATGTACATATGTATTCAGATGTACATATGTATTCAAATTGCTTTGTTTTTATTGTATTTCCAGAAGATGAAGGTAATAGAAATGAGGAATTTGAGGTGGATGTGCGGGCATAGTAGGATGGATAAGATTAGGAATGATGATATTCGAGAAAAGGTGTGCGTGGATCCCATTGATGACAAGATGCGGGAAGCAAGGCTCAGGTGGTTCGGGCACGTTCAGAGGAGAAGCCCAGATGCTCCGGTAAGGAGGTGTGAACGGCTGGTTGTGGAGGGCTCGAGAAGAGGTAGAGGGCGGCCTAAGAAGTATTAGAGGGAGGTGATTAGGCAGGATATG